TGAAAATACTTCTGATGAAAGTCTGGAAAACTGCAGAGTGATAAACCTCATATCTGCATATTGCAAATAATGGAAACCACAATAATGCAGACAAATTTGGAATATATGATATATTGGGAAGTATGATTTTTGTTCAGAGAAGTGAGGGCTCACAGAGTGGCTGGAGATCTCCAAGGGAGTCAGCAGGCATGAAGGTGAGGGAGTACAGCTGATCTTTGGGTTTCTTGGATTTCTGAAAACATTCCACAAGGTTCCTTGTCAAAAAGCCTTAAATTAAGCCACCACAGAGGGAAAAGAAAAAGTGTTTTTATGGCTAAAGAATGTTATGGGCCATTAGGAATGGCTGTCACCTCCTGCAGCCCAGGGTTGGAGCCCAGCACTGGGGTCTCTGCCCGAGCTGGGGGACGCGGCTGCCGCCTTCCTCTCTGAAGTGAGCAGACGTCAGGTTGAAAACAAGCAAACTGAAATGGTTAAGGCATCACCTCCAGCTCAGGAAACTTGTAATTTGGAAAATTTTTGGTGGGTAGGAAAAGCATGGAAAAAATATCACTATGTTATTGGTAAATGCTCAGCTCTTGAACCCTTCCCTATGCAATCTTCATTGCAACTGCCATAAACAGGATGCTCTGCTGGATGGACCTTTGATGTGACCTAGTACAAGACTTGCTACTTTCCTGGCAAAATGAGTTTTAGCTCTCAGCATCACAAAGGGCTGGGTCACTTGTCACATGGGTCACATTAGAGGAAAAATCTCAGCCTTCACCCCATATTCTCACTCCCATTATTCTTCTTCCAGGATCTCCAACACGAGATTTCTCTCCTCCTTTACTTCTTCACTGCACGTGCCTCAATAGGGCTGTAATCTCAGCTGGTCTTTCTGAATTCTACCTCATGCAACCCAACAACTGCCACAGCTGTAGTCATTATTGAATTCTGTCTTCAGCACGAGGGCACACGTTCTGTCAGCTGTTACAGAAACTGAACTATTATTAATTAAGGCAGAATTTACTTTGTGTTTTGCTATTCGCTGTACTCAATAAAAACAATGACACAGGTTTTACTATAAAATTAATGCCTACATTGTATGTTACATCAATATCCATTCACATGGTTAAGTTCTTTTATGCTATTAAATGTTAGCATTGGTATGGTCTTGCATAGCCACAAGGGATATTTTATAATATAAACGTTTATTAAAATGCAGCCTACAAAGGCCTTTCTGCAGCTCCCCCTACTGTCACTGTGCCGTCAGAACTCCACTTCGGTGCCACTCCACCTTAATGAGAAGGGTGTTGAGAGACGTGATTATTGCAACTGGGCATTCATTAATATATGATTCTACAGGGAGAAATGTACCAAACAACATAGTATGAAGACTTCTCTAGCTGCTAAAGTGCCTGCTGCATTTCGCAATGTGATATTCTTCTTATGTTTACTTGCTAATTTATACATTTCAGCAATAAGCACCGTGTATTCTGGTGGTTAGTATAAAAGAGAGTTTTCTGGGTTAATAATGGAATAAACAGTGCATTACACAATTTTTAATGTAGTAAAAATAATCAGAGGAATAATAGGTAAGAAATATGGCAGAGCAGTAAGGATTTTAGAAAATAAAAAGGAAAGACAGGTGTTGCATTTCTTAATTCTGTGAGAAATGTTAAAAATGCTAGATACACCTAACCTGCTGTCATTCCTTATGTAAATAATTTTGAACCTCAAAGTTCAAGTGGTTCAGGCTTTGACAGGTAACCTTGTCTTCTTCCATACCTCTCTCCTCCCAAATACTTAGCAGACACAAACCACTGGATCTTCCCCTCCAGACTGGCTTGGTAGAAATTCTGCTGACATCGTCAAAACATTTCTTATCCTTCTACCCAAGAAGGAGACGTGAAGAGAGGCAGGGAGAAAATGATTTGAGGGAGCAGAGAAAACCCAGCAAGGGTAGCTGCAAGCTGCATTAACAAGTGACCTTAATCAAGAGCTGGTCCTGGTACCTTACCCTAGTTGCTCCTGTCCTTTAGCAGAAATCCCCTCAAACGCCTTTGACTTGGCTCCATACACTCTTCCCTTCCTTTATTCTGGAGCTTCTTCTCTTCTTTAACCTCTACAGCCCTGTGGGAGATCACAGATAGTTTGCAGCTTTTTAATACAGACACTTCCAGAAAGCGCACAGACACCAATCTTCAGAGGCAAGTAACAAATTTCAAATGCAAAGATGCTTTAGTGTAAGGCAAACCGGGAGAGCAGCAGATGTTAAGGTGTGCTCCTGACTCTGTTTCCTCAGCTGGACAGTTTCCAACAACTGCCTTCTCAGGCTGTGTCTACACGAACAGTTCAGTTCAGGTAAGGGGTGTAGTTTTGAGGTGAATCTCCCAATTGTCCCCATTTACCGCACCCTACTTGATTCACACAGAGATTTCAAAGCACATAAACTGAATTTTGGTTGAAACTAACTGGAAGAGATGGTCTAGGAGTGTACCTACTCTGCTCCAATCACTTAGCGGGGGGTAATCTGCCTAGCCCAAAGCAAACCCCCTCCAGAATGCTTATCAGCCCTTGAATCCAATCATTTTGCTCTATGAATCCAACGGTATTGGTCTGCATTACGTCCTAATGTCAACATTCTCTCAGTGTACTGATTTATTCAGTCTCAGCCTTAGGGATGTCCTCAACACCATCCCAACCTGTCTCTTTGCCTCAGTGCAAAAAAGCTTATTTACTTACTGAGGGTTGTGGATCCTAATCTCAAAGGCACCTACAAATAATGCCTCAATTCTGAGCACTTAAATCTTCTGAGCATTTAAATCTCTTCCTGCAGCTAGTAAATATGCTCAGTGTGCAACATCCCCACACGTGTTCAGGTACCTGACTCGGTCAGCTGGAGTTGTTTGTTACCTATGAGTGTGTGAATTATCACAGAGTCACAGAAGGCTTTGGGCTGAAACGAACCTGAAAAATCATCATTCGGGTAGGTGACGTCAGGTACTCTTCCCTTATCCACCAATGCTGTCATATTACCTAACTCATCAGCTTTTCATACAGATTCTGAACCCATCTACCCATCTTTAGAATTTTGTTGTGTGTGTAATCCTAGTTAGAACATGCATACTAAAATCCATGCTGCATGTCTAAAATAAAACTCTTAGAACATTAAAATGAGATTAATATATTTCCTTATATATTATCACAATGAGGGCTGCTGTGATGATAAATCAGCTGAGGAATACAGAGAGACATGACCTGTGGAACAGAACCCCACATGAAATGGAACACAAAACGCAGACTTGAGCGCTGGTATTTAAAGCCCTGCAGCCGTACGGTCTGGTGCACTTGAAACTAGATTTAGAACAGGAAGAACATGTAAAAATCTGCTGGAAATACTTAAGTACCATGAAGTTATAAATTATGCTTATGCTTTTTACTCAACTACCCTTAAAGTACAGGGGAAAAAAAATAAATCCACTGATATTGGTGTAAAAAACCAGTAGCCTGTGCACTAAGTCAAAGCTGCTTAGATGCCTCCATTCGGTCAACACCTGGAGTCATGCCAGTGTAGAACCTGTACAACGTTACAAACAGCTTCTTTTTAATCAGCTGAGCTATATATGCCAAAAATAACTCTCACATGGCTAGCTTCCTTTGGAATTGTTTCATTGGTATTAAGTACAAAATCAATACTCTCAACCCTCAGAAAGAAATCAAGCAATTAAAAACCAAAGACACCAAGGCAACAACGGTGCTGAAAATATTTGGAACACCTCACTTTGAATTGTTATGCAAGATAAAATGTTATCCAAAATCCAGCTTCCAGAAAAGTGCTTCACGTTTTGGTAATTCTGTTAAAGTTTCATACAAAAGAAAAAAAAAGTCATTCATAAATAAACCAAAGCAGGTATTTGTCTTGAAAGAATTATTTTAATAAAACCCTGACTAACACTGAAGCAAAAATACTCAGAAGAGTGTATTTTGCGCACCGGAGGCAGTTGACAGCCCCGCAGCCCCCGCCAGCCCCGCCCCGCCGGAGCCCCCACCCGCCCGCGG